GTCACTACTATAAATTTCCCGGGTGGACTGGGTTTGGCCCTGGGAGGAGGGCATGGTGGGAGTCCTGCTCCTCCGGGGGAGATGGGGCTGGGGAACAGGGAGCAGCCTGAGCCGAGTGCCTTCCTCACACACCTCCATGCTCCTCCAGGGGAAGCAGACCAGGCCAGCAGAAGTGCCCCGGCTGCAGCTGTCTTCCGGCTTCGTTTGGGACGTGGGGCTAGAATCTCTGACCCCGGCCTTGCCACCTCGAAGAGAGAGCTCAGACAGCGAGGAAGACGAGAAGCCACAGCAAACCACGGTGTCGTATTTTGCAGGGACCCCTTGGTGCCAGTCTCCTGTGTCTGTCCTAGTCTGTGGGTGTCTCTTCCGTCAGGGTGGGGCGGTCTCGGGCTAGGGAGCATTTACAGAGCCTGGGGATTGCCCTGCCGACTCTTGGCTTCTATCACAGACCTGCCCAGGGTCTGAGGAGCTGATTACTCACTTGTTTTGGCCTTTCATAGCAGAAGAAGAAAAGCAAGAAGGAAAGGGAGCTGGAGAAGCAGAAGGCAGAGAAAGAGCTGTCCCGCATGGAGGAGGCGCTGATGGACCCTGGGCGACAGCCAGAGTCAGCAGATGATTTTGACCGACTGGTGCTGAGCTCCCCCAACAGCTCCATCCTGTGGCTGCAGTACATGGCCTTCCACCTGCAGGCCACAGAGATCGAGAAGGCCCGGGCTGTGGCCGAGAGGGCTCTCAAGACCATCTCCTTCAGGTCTGGGCTTCGTCTCCCTGCTTTAGGGAGGGGCCTTTGGACAGGAAGGGCCTTGTCTCCCCAGGTTGCAGTCTGACAGCAGTTGGAGTGGCTGCCACCTGGGGTTCCCGGACTCTCTCTCAGATGTGCCGTCTGTGAAATAGATCTGCTCATCTATAATTTATAGTCCTTTTCACTGTTAAGTTGGAGACTTAAATAATGTGCCCAACTTGGAGCAGAAGTAGAATAGAGAACACAGCTTTCCATACCTGGGTGAAAACTCTACGTGTGGCCATTTTCCAGGCAGAGGGTAGAGTGAGTGCCCTGAGGCTGATGAAGGAGGAGTGGTGAACCTTTACTTTCATTCTCTTAGTTTGGGGAAAGAAGCAGACCAGAGTTTCTGCTCCTTCCAGCTCAGACCTCAGGCCTGATTGAGACCTGGTAGGCTTCCTTCCTGGGAATGGAGGTAGAGCCTCCGTCTGGGAGCCCCAGGCCCCGCAGTCAGGGTGGGGCTTCCTGCTGCTGTGAACTGCAGTGGAACAGGGCCTCTCAGTGCCTGTGCTTGAGGGTGGGAGCTGAGGACATGGTTGGAGCCTGGGGAGGAGGAGGATAGAGTTCCAGTCGACATCCCCGGAGTGGAGTGAAGGGCTCTTTGGGCTGAGATGATGGAGCTCATGCACCGACTGCTCTCCCTCCAGAGAGGAGCAGGAGAAGCTGAACGTGTGGGTGGCACTGCTGAACCTCGAGAACATGTACGGGTCTCAGGAGTCACTGACCAAGGTCTTCGAGCGGGCTGTGCAATACAATGAGCCTCTCAAGGTCTTTCTCCAGCTGGCTGACATCTACACCAAGTCAGAGAAGTTCCAGGTAGGAGTCTGGGCCTGGTGGCCTGCTGCCAGAGGGTCCCCAGCCACTCAACCTGTCTCCTCGGGGTCACGGAGGCAGCAGGGAAGAATCCCCATGTTCTGGATCCTGTTCTAGTCTTAAGACCTCTGTGTGCCATAGGATTAGTAGGGAGACTCTCCATCTTGTTAGGCCTCCTCATCTCTGGGAGCCTGCCCTCCCCTCATCTTTGGGAACCTGCTCTCTAACCCTCAGTAGGTAGAATTGGGCCTGCATAGCAGTTGGCGTCTGTGAGCCCAAGTCTGGCTTCTCACAGGGGAGCTGCCCGTCTTTATTATTGCCCCCCTCTGTCGCATCACCTTCCCCAGCGTGCCTGGTCTTTCCCACAGGAAGCTGGTGAACTCTACAACCGCATGCTGAAGCGTTTCCGGCAGGAGAAAGCTGTCTGGGTCAAATATGGGGCCTTCCTTCTGCGGAGGGGCCAGGCTGGGGCCAGTCACCGTGTGATGCAGCGAGCCCTCGAGTGCCTGCCTCAAAAAGAGCGTGAGTGCCCAGCCCACTTTCGGCCCGATTCCTGAGCACATTGGGCTCGCCCACTTCTGGGCACAGGGGTTATGGGTCCCCTCATCTGAGGGTGGTGGCAGGAAGCCTCGTGGCAGTTATATACCTGTCTCTCTCTATTGATTGTATGCTCATGCATGTAATGCGTGTTGCAGTTAGCACTAATTCTGTTGCCCTAGCCCCCAGAGAGTAGGGTGTCTGCGGTGGGAGTCATAGGTCAGTGCCCATCTGTGTATGTGGCCCTGATCTACCCCACTGACCCTCTTGTCGCTACCTGTGTCTTGGGACACGAGCAGGGAGTCAGGAGTCAGACTCGGTCCCTGTGGCACATTGTGTTGTGGTGCGGGCTCTGCCTGTTTGTGTGCCTGAGTGTCCTCTCCCTGCAGACGTGGATGTGATCTCCAAGTTCGCCCAGCTGGAGTTCCAGCTGGGGGATGCAGAGCGGGCCAAGGCTATTTTTGAGAACACACTGAGCACCTACCCAAAGCGCACGGATGTCTGGTCGGTCTACATCGACATGACCATCAAGCATGGCAGCCAGAAGGAAGTCCGGTGAGAGGGGCAGACAGACCGGGCTGAATTCCCGTGGGGGTTGGGGACATTGGCAGATGACTTCAGCACCCACAGCAGCTCCAGCATCCCCAGTTGACTTACTCTGTCTGGAAAAACAGCTTTGACCTGACACGGCAGGTCCTATGGCATTCACTTTTCCAACTTCTTTTCCTGCCTCGGGCCAGCCTCTGGTCGGTATCTGGAACCTTGGGTGGGAGGTAGGCTGGCCACTCTCCTGGGGTCTGGAGACTTGGGTTTCCCTCATAATTAACACTGTGCCTGACTCTCCCTGTAGAGAATGTTCACAGGCATAACTCACCTTTGTCCGCCAGCATCCCCACAGGCAGGAAGGATTGGAGATGGGTAGACAAGCTCCAGAAAGAACTAGTGCCTCCCCTCAGCCCGCCAGTGAGCTTTAAGCAGAGCTTTTCTCACAGATGCGTGTCTCATGTGTGTTCCCTCCCAGTAGCTTTGTCCTGATTTACTGTGTGACTTTAGGCCAGTAGGTCCTTTAACATTTCTGGGTGTCTGTCTGCTCACCTGGACGGGAAGGGTGGTATTCTCTCCCTCTCCCAGTGGACATGATGGGAGTGGATGGTGGTAGTAAAAATGAAGCTAGAAGTGGGAGTGCTGGGTGACAGAGGACCTGCTCCAGAGCCTGAGAGCAAGTGGGGAAGGTTAGCCAGGAGTCGTGTGGCGGGGGACCGAGAGGCAAACGCTGCCCTGCTCTCCTCACAGGGACATCTTCGAGCGCGTCATTCACCTGAGTCTGGCCCCCAAGCGAATGAAATTCTTCTTCAAGCGCTACCTGGACTATGAGAAGCAGCACGGCACCGAGAAGGACGTGCAGGCAGTGAAGGCGAAGGCCCTGGACTATGTGGAGGCTAAGAGCTCCGTGTTGGAGGACTAGCTGCAGGCTGGCTCCGGACAGCCCCTGCCGCAGGGCCCAGCCCACCCAAACCTCAGGCACCCGGCAGTTGACAACTGTGTTGCCTGAGGACTCTATTTATGTGCTGCTTTTTCTGCAGCAACTTTGGGACAATCCTGTTAGGATAAAAAGGCATTTCTTATAAATTCCTTTTTTTACTTTGGTTTCAAGTACCAATTTCATGTTTCTCCTTTTCTGAGACTGCTCCGGTTTCTCCTTCATGGGAGTTCCCAGGAGCAGGAGTGGACAGCTGACTCCTGACCATCTTTGGCCCTGGCAGGCTCTTGGTATAGCCAGAGGGGTCAGCAGGGTCCAGGAAGTAGGCCCCTCCTTTAGATCCTGGAGTCTCTGGGCATTCTGTTAGCCTCAGCTCAGCCTTGTACCCTTTGGTGAAGGCTGTGAGTTGGGATGGAAGGACAAAGATAGAGCCCAGGAAGGAAAATTGAGGCACCTGAGAGGAAAGCCACCTGGTGATGTCACCTCTCAGCCCACCAGGGCCAGGTGACCCAGCCTCTCCAAATGGGGGTCTCATTGTAAAATGGGGCTAAAACGTTCTACCTTGCAGGGTTTTGTGGATGAAGTGAGAGCATGTATGTCGTATGCTGCCTGGCAGGCAGGAGTCTCGGTGAGGACCTACACTGGCGTGCTGTATGGCTTTGGGGAGAGCCCCCTTCTAGCTCCTCTGGGAGAATGATTGCTGGGCGCAGGGCATTGATTGACTTGATGGTTATTCCTTGAGTCCTGAGGGAGAGGCGATGTGATGGGCCCAGGCCTCCCTCATAAAATTCCCAGAAAGACAGTCTCTCTGCATCGTTTGATAAGTAATGATCTCGTACGGTCCAGAGATCTTGGAGGCCAGCACAGACCCAGCTAGTTGTTAAAGCCAGTTCTTTTTTGGCTTGGTCTTAAGAGAGTGAATCATTTTCTTTGGCAGAGTTTTAAATGTCCCGAGAGCTAGGGAGCTTTTCCATGGGCAATGACTGAGTCATGTGCCAGGAAGCAGGGCCAGGACAAGGGAGGGCATCAAAGGTTTCAGAGGTGGTGGAGGCAATCGGGCAAGGTGAGCGTGGGAGGGAGGAGGAGCCAGGGCTGGGCTATGAGAGCTAGTCTTCTCTACTGAGTGCAGGATCTTCTGACCCAAGAAATTTAAGCTGAGCTTCCCTCCGGGGGAGACCAGGCTCCCCCTGTTCCTCCAGATCAAGTGAGATACCTGAATCCAGCTGCTAAGGGGTCATCAGCCCCAGAGCTTTCCCTCCTGTGGGAGCCCCTGCCCTCCCTCCTGTCCATTTGAGCCCTGCCCAGGGTCTCCCTGTCCCCTTCCCTCTGTCCCCATGATCACCGATCCGCTGTGCCATGTCCCATCCAATCACATAGACAGCAAGCTAGTCCATTATCCTTAGAAAAGCTTTATCAAAAATGTAAACATATAAAATAAAGCCAGTGGCATGCATCGAAGGGCAGCTTCCCAGCTGAGCACCGCTGAGCTGGGTGTCCATAAGCAGTTAGACACAAATTAACTGCACAATATCCTATACAATGAGCCTGCTGGCAGGTTTCACTGTCACCTCGCTGTGCTGGCCAGGGCTTCTCAGCCTTGGAGCCCACCAGTAAAAGGTCCTCCACATCATAGCTGATTAAGGACCAGTTCTGAGTACGAGTCTTCCCTCCCAGCTGTTGACCAGGTGGCTGATGGCAGTATGAGAGGGGATTTCTTCAGGTCGGAGAGCCTTCCTGTCACGCTGACCACATTGCGCATTAGCTCTCTCCTCTGTACCCAGATTACTTTTGTTTCTTTCTCTTGGTCTGTTTTCCCAAAAAGCTATGGTTAAAAGAAAAAAAATCTGATGCTGATGTGAGCAGACAGTGGGGTTCAGTGTTGGACCAAGGATTGTCATTTGCCAAGAGTGTGGGAACAGGAACCTTAGGAGACAAGCAGGGCCATCTCCATGTTTTCCGGGGCTGTGCCGTTGCCTGGCAGCCCCTGGGCCCACTTGTGCAGGCGGCTGTAGAGGGGGAGGCCCTGGTTCTCACGGTACAGATAGACACCAGTGATGGCGTTCCACTGCGGCCGCGGCTGTGTGCCTCCCACAGGGAACTTGGCTACCAGCTCCTCATCGTCCTTGTCGAGGGCCACGAAGCCGAAGAAGCGGCGCACGTTGTTGGCGGCCAGCACCCTGGAGTGCACCTCGGCCGTGCGCTGGAAGAGCTGCTCCTCGTTGTTGCGGTACTGCGTCCAGTAGGCCTCCTGGCGGTAGCTGAGTGGTGAGCAGTAATGCTTGAGGCACTTGGTCAGGAACACCAGGACGGCCACCACACCTATGAGCAGCCACCCAAAGAGCTGGCCAGAGAAGGGGCAGGGTGAGGAGGGCAAGTTGCTATTTGGACCCCCCACCCGCCCAGGTTGAGATAGGAGCTGGGCTGAGCTGAACCTGGGCCTCAGAACCCCCTCAGAACTGGCCCTCACTTCCCTGAATGAAGATTCTGCTTCTGTAAGGGAAGCAGGCCCTTCTGGTTATAATTTCACCGATTTTTCCTTACTCTTTCGAATTCACAGTTTCTTAGACTTTGCCTCCTGCATTTTCTGCCATTTCTTTTCCTTTTTAAAAAAAATAATAATTTATTTTTATTTTTATTGATTTCAGAGAGGAAGAGAAGGGGAGAAAGAAATAGGAACATCAGTGATGAGAAAGTATCAGTTGGCTGCCTCCTGCACACCCCCTACTGGGGATTGAACCAGCAACCCGGGCATGTGCCCTGACCAGGAATCAAACTGTGACCTCTTGCCCTGACTGGTTTGGCTCAGTGGATAGAGCATCGGCCTGCGGACTGAAGGGTCTCAGGTTTACCCCCCCCCCCCCTTACGTCATGTCAGCCCATCAAAATCCAGGTCAAACTGCCAGGCTCAGCCCAGATGCCACCTCTTGCCTTCGCTACCTCCCCCATGGCCTGGTCCTTACTCTCTGCCTCGTTTTGAAATCACCCATGTGCTTCTCTCAAACACTTGCTTGGGTGTGAGCCTATTTCCCCATTTGCTCCTCTAGAGAGATCTGTGGGCTTTTGATCATCAAATTTTATTTCTGTGTCTTTCATCTCCCATCTCCTTGGTGCGTCTCCAACCCTGCTTCTCTGTTTGTGTTGCTTACGTACCTGAGAGACCTTATAAAGAATCTGATGCTCTTCCCTATCTGTTCCTCGTTCCCTGTTTCTCTAAGTCAATGCTTCCAGCTCAGTTTTTCTGTTTCTGCCCAGGTCTCTGCTCTTCTGTCCTCTGACCAACCTTCACTCCCTCAGAACTAAGCCAAGGCTGAGGCTAGAAGCAGGGCAGCAGCTTCCTGGGTCAAAGGACTGCCATATGTCAGCAGTGCCTGAGGCTAATTCATTGCTGGCCCCGGCCTTCCTGGGATAGGAACATTCTGGTCCCTGGAGCCAGCCACACCCCACTATCAGCTCATGGCCCATAGCAAATATTTCATAGGCTTGCAGGATTTGTGCTCCATCTGGCTGGAGTAAGGGGCTTAATCCATGACTGGGATCAAGGCTCAGTCTGAGCCAGAACATTTCCTTTAACATTTAAAACGTATTTGTGACTGAATTGACCTTTGTCCCACCAGACACTAACCCATGGGGTTACCCAGCTCTGATACCTGATGCTGATTAGTGCTTTCCTGGAGACCTTGGCCCCTGGGGACCAACTCCAGCTCTATCACGGAGCCATCCCGACACCCCCCCCCCCCCAGCCACCACCAAAAGGAGAAAAAAGGGGCGCTTTCCTTTGCACACCTTACCTGGGACTCATACTTGAGCCTGCGACTGACCTCCTCCCGGAAGCCTGACAGGTTGGCAGGGCCCTCCCCACAAGGGAACCTGGCCAGGATTTCCGTGGCATGGTCTCGCGGGAAGCCCTCTCCCCCGGCTGTGAGCGAGGAGGGGTCCACAAACTCGCTGAGAGCACAGACATAGGCCTCACCGCGCAGCAGGGAGATGACAGACCCAGGTGATGGGGGCCACGGCCGCGCGGCCCAGGATGGAGCTCAGGAGGAGGAAAGTGGGGGGCAGCCGAGCA